TGCGAGAGGGATGTCCGACTGCTGGTTTAGGCCCGATCCCTGTAAATTGGCAGTAGGACATCCTTCGAGGGGTCCCAAATTGGTGAGGGTGCAGGCCAGGCTGAGGAACACACCCTCCACCGTGCACAAATTTCGTGCACCAGGCCACTGGTATGTACATATGTCGAAATGACGGAACTTTTTTTATAAATAATTGGAAGATGGTGACGTAACCATGAAACGACATATGTTGAGTCTGACGTAACCCGAGGACTGTCTGTAAGCCCGTAGTGTGTGTGTGTGTGTGTGTGTGTGTGTAGTATCACAAACCTTGACACTCTTCTGCACTGTTTCTCATTCAACATTGTAACATGGGTGTTGGTTCATGACAGTCCATATTTACCTTACTCTCTTTTTTTAAAATATGTTTTTATTATTGATTTCTGAGAGGAAGGGAGAGGGAGTGATAGAAACATCAATAATGAGAGAATCATTGACCAGCTGCTACCTGCATGGCCCACACTGGGGATTGAGCCCGCAACCCGGGCATGTGCCCTGACCAGGAATCAAACAGTGATTTCCTGGATCATAGGTCAACTCTCAACCACTGAGCCATGATGGCTGGGCTACCTTACTGTTTTTAATGTATGAATGGGATTCCATTGTATATTATAGTTGTATTTTTTTAAATGTGATCTGTATTGGTGGAACTTTAGGTTGCCATATAGATTATTATGATTAATGTTGTAATAAGCATGTTTGTACTTATATCTTTGCATCCTAGTACATTTAAGTATTGAATTATGCTAAATAATTGCCACATTTTTACATTATAGAAAAGTACACTTTTTTTTTTTTTTTGCTTTTGGTTGAAGACTGTCAGTCCATATAAAAAAATTCAGGATTTCACACATAAGAAAAGAACATGTTTCACTTGAAGCATGTTTTCATTAAGTGTTTGAGACTTGAAGAATAATGCATCATGTAGTTCTGAACATATTTAACTTAAGATTTACTTCTGTTTTGAATGAGAAATAAACCTTGTTTGGCTGATATCCTTTTTAAATAATTTTTTAATTACTAGTTATCTTTCTTTAGGGCCTTCTCTCAGAACTTTTACATAATTGTGATGGACAACTGAAAGGAGAAGTGGCCCAGATGGCAGCTTACTATGAACATCGCCTGCAGCTGGGTAGTAAAGCCATTTATCACTTGGAAGCATTTGTGGCCAAATTTATGGCACTTTATAAGAAGTTCATGGAAGATGGATTGGAAGGCATGATGTTCTGACATTTACCAGTAATAATTCTTTATATGTCTCACTATCAGCATTTACGTTTAGTTTATATTGCAGGAGCTGCAGGTAAAATAAACTAACTTTACTTAATCATGTCCTTTTTTAATTCCTCTGTGAACCATTAATCATTACTCTCTAAGTTAAATAATTATTCCTATACTATTGAAGTATATTTAAAGGACACAACTAGAAATTTCAGAGTCCATGATTTTATTTTAAAAATTTGCTATCCAAGTATGCAATGTTGATCCTCCCATTTTCCAGTTAATCTCTCACCTGCTTAAGGAAATTTGCACATAGAAAAACAAAGATTAGCGCTAATCTTTGGGCTCAGTGGATAGAGCATCTGACTGCCGACTGAAGGGTCTTAGCTTCTGTTCTGGTTAAGGTCACATATCTCTGTTGCAAGCTCTACCCCTGGCCCCCTTTGAGTGCATGCAGGCGTTAACCAATCGATGTGTCTCTCTCACATTGATATTTCTGTGTCTCTTCCCCTCCCTTCCACTCTCTCTAAAAATCAATGGAAAAATATCCTCAGGTGAGGATTAACAAAAATAAAAAAAGTAATAAATAAAGCAGAGATTATTTTCTATCCTCCAGTTGAGTATTTTTGGACACAGGTACATAACTATTTGGTAAGTCATTACCTTTATTCATATTTTCCTCAACCAAGAATTACATATATATTTTTAAAATATATTTTTATTGATTTTTTTACAGAGAGGGAGGGAGAGGGATAGAGAGAAATATCAGTGAAAGAGAAACATCGATCAGCTGCCTCCTGCACACCAACCAAGGTACATGCCCTTGACCGGAATTGAACCCGGGACCCTTGAGTCCGTAGGCTGGCGCTCTACCCACTGAGCCAAACCGGTTAGGGCAAGAATTATATTTTTGCAGAAAATATAAGAATTAATTTTGAAACACAACTAACATGGGTGTGGAAAATATTGAGACTGCAAAATCCAACCTTCATTTCAGTGATTCAGATTTGGTATTAGGTTGACTAGTAAGTAATAAGCATGTTTTCATTAAGTGTTTGAGACTTGAAGAATATAGTTCTTCAAGTAGTTCTGAAGGAAAGGTATATTACTGTAGAAGTTACTTTTTAAACAAGTGTATACTGTGTCATTGGTCTTGTCCTTTGGAACCTTTTTTTATTTGTTTGTTTCCAAGTAATTTTATTCAGAATTTTGTTTCCTGAATCAATAAATACTATACAAAACAATGTAAAAATGGCTACTATTTTTTCTCCCCTGCTCCCCCCACATGGGGACAATCCCCTGGGCCACCTAACTCAAGGGTTCTCCCTCCAGATTTGGTCCAGTAAATGAGGTTGAGTGACATAGCCCCCTTGAAGAATCATTTTCAGAGGAATTTGGCTGGAGCAGGGAGTCTCTGGGGTTTAGAGGTTGACTAGGTTAGGGAAGTGGAATAGTGTTTTTGGGAGAAGAGATAGTGCCTGGGGCATGAGCCTACCCCAAAGAAAAGGGTAAATTGTTCATGGTTCCTTCTTTGCCTCAAAAAGTGACATTTATTCAAAGGGAAAAAAGAGAAAAAGAAAAAAAAAATTACAAGATGTCCATCCCTTGGCTCCCTTCCCTCCACCGTCCTGCTCCTCTGCCTGCCAAGGACCGAGAACCCTGGCTGGGATGAGATAGCAGACCAGCCCCACTCAGATGAGGTCAGCAACATTGAGGGGTATCTCCTCAATGGAGGTGGTGTAGAAGGTCTCGATGTCTCGAAGAGTCCTCTTGTCTTCTGTCTCCATATTATTAGCCACACCCTTACGGCCAAAACATCCACCCCGACCGATTCTGTGGATAATAGTTTTCCCTGTTGGTGGAAGGTCATAGTTGATGACTAAAGAAACCTGCTGCACATCACTGCCTCTGGCCAGCAGGTCAATGGTAATCCTCTGCTAGAGCCAGAGCGGAACTCTCATGGTTACATTTCATTCCTTTTGGTCCATATCTCCATGCATGGCAGAGACATTGAAGTCTCAGGCGTGCATCTTCTCAGTGAGCCAATAGTACAAATTGGTAGTTACCGAGAGGAAGGGAGAGGGATAGAGATAGAAACATCGATAAGAGAGAAACATCGATCAGCTGCCTCCTGCACACCCCCTACTGGGGATGCACCCGCAGCCAAGGTACAGGTGCTTGACCAGAATCGAACCTGGGACCCTTCAGTCCGCAGGCCGACGCTCTATGCACTGAGCCAAACCGGCCAGGGCAGTCATACCATATTTTAAAATGTATTGCGATATTTTTTATAAAATATTGCATATGTCTCCTTTTTCCCCACGAACCCCTCCCCAACCACTCCCACCCCCAAGGACAAGCCCCCACCACCCCAGTGTCGGTGTCCATTGGTTATTCTAATGTGCATGCATACAAGTCCTTTGGTTGATCTCTTACCCCATCTCCCCTGCTTTCCCTCTGAGGTTTGACGGAGTGAGATCATGTGATATTTATCTTTCTCCAAATGGCTAATTTAGTTTAGAATAATGCTTTCCAGGTCTATCCATGCTGTTGCAAATGGTAAGAGTTCCTTCTTTTTTACAGCTGCTTAGTATTCCATTGTGTAGCTGTACCACAGTTTTTTAATCCACTCATCTGTTGATTGACATTTAGGCTGTTTCCAAATCTTAGCTATTGTAAATTATGCTGCTATGAACATAGGGGTGCATATATCCTTTCTGATTAGTGTTTCTGATTTCTGGGGATATAGTCCTAGCAGTGGGATTACTGGGTCAAATGGGAGTTCCATTTTTAATTTTTTTGAGGAAACTCCATACTGTCTTCCACAGTGGCTGCACCAGTCTCCATTCCCACCAGCAGTGCACGAGGGTTCCTTTTTCTCCACATTCTCTCCAGCATTTGGCATTTGTTGATTTGTTGATGATAGTCATTCTGACAGGTGTGAGATGGTACCTTATTGTCATTCTGATTTGCATTTCTTGGATGATTAGTGACTGAGTATGTTTTCATATGTCTCTTGGCATTCTGTATATTCTCTTTCAAAAAGTGTCTATTTAGGTCCTTTGCCCACTTTTATTTTTTATTTCTTTTGGTCTTTATTGTTGAGATTATTACAGATGTCCCTCTTTTTT